ATTATATATATATATAGTACTTATTAATACAGAAAAGAGAGGACAAAATTAAACAGATTAAGTTTAACCCTAACTGTTATTTAGCTACCACTTTAAATATTATCTCTGGGAAGGTATATCTTATCGTATATCTCAGTCACAAAATGAATAATTTAAATAATTAGGTAAATTATTAATTTTTATTTATTTTTAAGCTTTAATTCTTAATTTTATTAATTTTTTAAGCGCTAATTCTTAATCTTTATTAACAGTAAAATCAAAGAGTTACTTGTGTATATACTAAATATAAAGTTTTACCAATCATAATTTTTTTTTTTTACCTACTTCTAGTTTTCTTTTTCAAAATGTATGTCAACGAATGTTTCAAATTATTCGGTCAAGCAACAACCTTCACTTAAAACTTCACGCACCACTGATTTTCGACCTAGGCCTTTAATTTATCTGACGATATATATTTATATATTTGGAAGAAAAAAAAGGATTATTATTTTTTATTACGTAAAATGGCAACAGCTTTACTCACCTGTGACGAATAACTGAGGTCAGGTGACTTTCCATCTTGCTTCTTCCTTCCTGGCTTGGTTCGGTTGACTCTGGCTTCCGCGATTGCATTTTGTATCGATTGTATCCAAGATTGCATTTCATCGGATGTTTCTGCAGAAAACTGGTGACGGTTCTATAAGATACAAACACTCGGATTGAAAAGAAATCGGAAAAGAAAGTCATAAACACAAAGATCTTTGTGAAAATTAGAATAAATTAGTTCGCTGCCTGCCGCTGAAACGATAATACTTATAATCGTTTGTCTGACCATTCTCGTATGATATCGTTATCAGTGGCCAATTCAGTGATATATCTTGAATACCTGTACATAATCTGTAAATCCGCTGAATACTGTTTTGTAGGTATATCTAAAGCTTTATGAAAAATTTCAGTAAACTACTTATCTGTCTTCTGGATTTTCACGAGCTGGAAGCGACATCAACAAGTCACCACTTAAAAATTTTGTATCTTAATAATTAGTAACCACATAACACTATGAATTAACTGTATCCGATAGATGGCGACACCAATATTAAACAAAACTTCTGTAAATTTATCATATTTGTTTTACATATAATGTTATATTTGTTTTACAACTTAAAATTACACAATTCTAACTTTATTCAATGCTAAAGTGTCAATCGCATTTGCATATATTCTAATTTTACTCATAATTTATCACAACTTATGAATGCATCAAATTTAAATTCCATTCAATGCTAAAATATCAATTGTAATTGTTTATATATTAATTTAATTCATATTTTAATCACAACCTATGATTGCATCAAATTTAATACCAATCAATGCTTAAATATCAATTGAGCTTTTTATATTCACGAAAATTTCTGATTATTGCATAAATCATGACTTATATTAAATATCAAATCATGTTTAATTTATCAAGCAAATATGCTTGATCTTCTGTAATGCTACCTAAATGCTGCATAATTCAAGATGTTTTTTAATTCAACTTGTAAATACTTTATGATGAATGGGTTAGGGGCCGCTGCGCGGCCCAGGCACCCAATTTTAGTTAAATAAAGAGAAAAAGAACACTATGAATTCTCAAATGTTATATCTACTATATTTATCTATGTCAACCTATGTATATATATTTCAAATTATGTTTATATTTATATGCTTATATATTTATATGTGTAAATTTAGTTTCGATATTCAAATGTTTATTTACCCAAGCAAAGGGCTTCTAATTTTGTATTAGCAACCACATCGACTGCTAAATTCAAAATGTTATCACTTTAAACTTATGTAAATTTCTAGATGTATGGGATAGTGGACACTCCGCGGCCCAGGTGCCCAATTTTTTATAAATAAAGTAAAAGTAAGTAAACACTATGAATTTTTAAAATCCATACCTGTCGACTTTTACGCATTTGGCGTAAAATTTTATTTCTGTATGTAAAGTGGTAGTAAAATGTTTGCTTTCTATATATTCCTTGCATTTATAAACTTAATTTATAATCTTTTTGATTCACCACTATTTTTAAAAAAAATTAATTACTTTTATTAATATGTAATACAGCATACCTGCCAACTCTTCCGGATTTTCCGGAAAATTTTATTTTCATATTTAAAGTGGTAGTAATTATATACTATTTTTTCTTTTATAATCTTAATTTTTAAATGATATTGATTACCACTATTCTTACAAAAATTAAGCACATATATTAATATGCGTTACTATCATGGTTGTCAACCCGCCTCAGTCGAAAGAAGAAAACGACCAAGGACACGCCTACTTCTACAGCCCACAGACTTGTTAGCCTCATCAGTGAACTTAAAGACTTGCTGAAGGACCAAGACGTGCTGCATCTTCTCACAACTTTAATCCAGGGCAATCATGGTTGTCAATTTAAGTTTTCTCAAATCCAACGTATTTGTTTGCTTAAAATTGAAGATTTAATTCCATTTTAATACCACTGGGAAAAATGATAACGGAAGGGATTAAAAGTTTTCAGGTATGATACAGTGGAAGTAGTCCGCATAAGCTTGCTCAAAATACAGCGTCTGTTTCTGCCTGAAATTGTAATTTATATTCCATTTTACTACCACTGGGGTAAATCATCCTCGAAAGGATTAAAAGTTGGCAGGTATGAAATTCATTTGAAAATAACATTTATCATGCAGGCCTGCCAACTNTTTCTCAAATACAACGTATTTGTTTGCTTAAAATTGAAGTTTTAATTCCATTTTAATACCACTGGGAAAAATGATAACGGAAGGGATTAAAAGTTGGCACGTATGATACAGTGGAAGTAGTCCGCATAAGCTTGCTCAAAATACAGCGTCTGTTTCTGCCTGAAATTGTAATTTATATTCCATTTTACTACCACTGGGGTAAATTATCCTCGAAAGGATTAAAAGTTAGTGAAATTCATTTGAAAATAACATTTATCATGCAGGCCTGCCAACTACTACGTTTTTTACCAAATTTTTAATTGAGTGGTAGATAATTAAAAATCAAAACTTTCAGAATTTTTGGTAACTTTGCCAACATTTTGAAAGCCTAACAATGAAACTTTTGAAACAAAATGGAGTTGCATATGAACTTTTAAATTATTTATGTGTAGTGGTGTGGAAAATAAATTTAAATGAATGAAAAATAATACATTAAAAACATAGACATAGCTACCACTAGAATAAATTTTTACAAAACGAGTAGAAATTTGGCAGCCGGAAAAGATATAAAACTGGTATTAAAATCATTTTCTTCCTAGTTCGTTTCCGAAGAAATAAATAACTTTGTTTAGCAAGACACATTCAAGGTTATACTGCATTTAAAAGCCTGTTTCCTACGATGGAAACTAACTGTCAATAGTTGTTGGTCATTTCTTCGAACATGTAAATTTTCTACTAATTATTTTTTCCGGTGGTTGTGAACTAGAGACGGAATTTTTAAATCAAATAAAATTTTTCTTAAAACTTATGAGTAGGACCAATTGTCATGTAACTCCAAAAAGTTTGCCAATTCTAATTTATTGAAATATTAATACTACCACTTTGAAGTTAAGACGACTCTGTATCTGAAATTAGACGAACTCATCTATAGCATATACATAACCTCATTTTCATCATATCAGCTTAGCAAAAGTTCATACTCTCACAATATAGTCTTATCACAGTACTATTTCTAACTACACAGTCAGAACCTCAATGATCCACACGAATACTCCTTCACTTCATTTGCATTCCACAACCTCATCGAAACACCACAAAGATCAAGCTAAAGATGAATGGGAAAAGGGTCGCAAGCGGCCTTAGGTGCCCAGATATTTTATACAGTTTAAATTCAATTAGACAAACTCTCCAAGGCCTCATATCACAACTATCAAAACAAATAACATTTCCCAACTGTAAATCTTGTCTGAAAAATGAATATTCAAGGCGTATTCTCATGCTGATACATTTTTACTCACCCTACAACAACAACTAAAATTTTGAATCAAACATAGTTTAGAGCAAGCCGATTTATTATTATCATTCATCTGTAGTTGCTCAAGCAAAGTGCTTAAAGTAAACCCCACTGCCAGCTAACCACAAAGACTCAATGNCCCAACTGTAAATATTGTCTGAAAAATGAATATTCAAGGCGTATTCTCATGCTGATACATTTTTACTCACCATACAACAACAACTAAAATTTTGAATCAAACATAGTTTAGAGCAAGCCGATTTATTATTATCATTCATCTGTAGTTGCTCAAGCAAAGTGCTTAAAGTAAACCCCACTGCCAGCTAACCACAAAGACTCAATGCAAACAAAACCCAAATTTTTGATGGTTAGGATAGGGGTCACTTACCACCTAAGTCGCACAACTAGGACTATTAGACAAACTGTGCATTCTGCACCAGCGAAGCCCGGCTACCGGGTGGGAAGCGAGGGAGTCATCCCCTTATTTGTAAACTATTTTTCACGTGTACGTATGTTTTTCGATTACTACTTCTTTTCATTTATTATTTATACATATTTCAGACTTCGTTCTTACACGAAATTAATCTTTTCACTCAATTAAAACCTAACTTTTAGCTATAAATCCTCCCTCCCCCCTTCCTACATCTAATTATTATCAAGTTAGATGAAGGTGAAAATAACCCACAGGGAGAGGTACTCCGATTTAAATGTTATCAGTCACTCATGAAGAGCATGTTGATTGAAGTTGCTTTCTATTTTTTACGCTTCCCATGCTATTTATTAGCATGTCTTGACAATTTGAAGTAGATTCACTGATGTACAAGGTGCGAGGGAAAAAATATTTAATAAAATATTTATTTAGTTTCACATACTGGTAGAGGTTTTAAAACTACAAAAGTCTTTTTTTACATACAAACATATGTACAAAAATAACATATGTACAAGTGAAAAAATAATTTACGAATAAGGAGATGACTCCCTCGCTTCCCCCCCCCCCNCGCTTCCCCCCCCCCCGGTAGCCAGGCTTCGCGGTGCAGAGCGTTCAGTCTGTCTATTAGCAGAAATGTCAACTTGCTCCGGACAGCGAATCAATATTTTCGAGTGCTAGTTTATTATTTGTGATTCTTGGTTTAATAAATTCAATTTAGTAGATTTTTATCCACCACTATTTCTAAACAATTCGTAGTATTATATAATTCATAACTTTATTTGATAAGCTTCTTCAAAAAGGCTTATAAGCCTAAATTGAGTACACAAGCCTGCAAATGAAGGTAATTTCAATAAAGTAAAGCTCCTTCGCGATGACCTTTTTTAAATGGTAGCAAAATTATCTAACATTCTCCAGATGAATGGGATAGGGGCAGCTTCGCGGTCCAGGTGCCCAGTAAAATCTAAACACTAGGACTTGATAAGCCTCTTATAAATTAGCATAATCTGTCTAATATTTTTAATTTAGTTAGTAGTTATTTACCGTTTGGGCAGATGGGCAAACCATGTAAAATTAGCATGGCATTCAACGTGTTAAAACCTAACTTTACGCTATAAATCCTTCCCCCTTCCTACCTCGAATTACTGTCAAATTAGAAGGAGGTGAAAATAACTCATTGAGAGAGACTTACTTTGCTTTGACTTTAATTATTGTCAGTTTAATCATAATCAATGCTGGATATTGGGGATATCTCGGCGTTTGGGCGCGAAGCACCACTAACCGATTCATCGATTCTGTTTTGTCGTATTCTAGGAGGTCCTAAATATCTTTGAAGTTGTAGTATGTTGTAACGACAAATCAAGTCCTTAAGGAAGTAAATCTTTTGTTTTGAAGTGAAAATCATCTTTGGAATGGGGAGATCCCCTTGAGTAGAGTTGTATGATGAAGTTAGTAGTTTTTTGGTAGTATGCAGTCTGAGCATAAAAAGGCGGTAATTGGGCTGAAATTCGAATTATCACGGATTATATCAATATCGAACAATTTATTGAAATCTGATGTGGTGCATGTTTTTGCGTCACTATAAAATTTTGTGGTCAATTTGGCTATAAAGCAATTGATATCATCAATGTTTAAGTCTTTTCTGAGTAATCTATTGCTAATCGCCCTTGGGGCGCCAGTCATTGTGCGTACAAATTTACCTTCAGTTGTAGATAGCTTCTTTTTTAGGTTGTTGCTTATAGTAGTGAGGGCTGGGCAAGCATACGTAAGAATTGGTCGAATCGCTTGTATATAGATAGTTCTTTTATTTGCTAGATCAAGCTTTGAATTTGCTAGATCAAGCTTTGAAAGAGAATTACATCTCATTTTTTCCAGCAATCAGGAAAATAGCAGTGGTTGAAGTAGACGTTAAAGATGTTACTTAGTATTGGTATTATATTTGGATATAATCAATGTTAATTCAAAGTGTAACTAAATAGTTTTATTTTGAACAAAGTAATGGTGAATTAAATAAATCAAACAATTATAACTCCGCCCACAAATAAACTGCTAAAGAAATACTTTGATTACCAGTTTTATCTTTTTATCCTGATTGATACGGTTTTATGCTGGCACGTATTTGTGACAGGCGGCGCGAAAGGGTTAAATGCTATCAGCCACTCAGGAAGGGCATGTTGACTAAAGTTACGTTATACTTTTTACGTGACTCATGCTAATTAATGGCATGTCTTGATAGTTGAACTTGATATATTTTATCCACATAAGTTTCAATGGAAACTATATTTAATAAAAAATTTATTTAGTTTCACATACTGGTATAAGTTTTCAAAGTATAAAAATCTTTTTTTAGGTGTTTTATCGTAAACTGGAAGTTAGAAGTCATGGACATTCGAAAATAAACTAGAGAGAAAATGATTTTACTGCCCGTTTCGTATTTTTTTCTGGTTTATAAAAATCTCAGACAGTTGTAAGCAGAAATTATTTTCACTTTTTTAGCCACTTGAACCGAATTTTAAGCCTTTCGTATATATATTTTTATTTAAGTTTATATCGTCGCTTTATTTTATTTCATAACCGTCGTTGAAATGCCAACAATATTTTTTGGGTTTTAGACTACTAATGTCCAACACCCTTGTCATTTTAAACCCAGTCCAGAACACAAGAGATCAAGTAATGGGAGAAATTTGCCTTCGAACTATTTTAATCTTAAGAGTTGTGCTTAAAACTAGAAGGCTATGGAAGTGCACTATTGACGTCTTTAATCCACTATGTTGATAATTAGTTAATGAAAATAAATACAATGAAACCTCTCTGGAGTGACCACTCTCTGTTCCACAGTCAAATAATCGTTAACCCCTTAACTTGTGCCCTCGAGTTAATTCGAGCTCGCTAAACAGGCCTAACAGTGCACACTCGAGATAATTCGAGGGGCGTTGTATTTTATGCTGCTATAATTTTTCACACTCGAAAATAATCGAGAATTGAAAATAGTAATGTGAAAGCTAAGAAAAAAAAATAGATTTATTCATATTTATCATTTACATAGGATTGTAAGCTATAACACTTATTTATTCAAGAATAAAATATACAGAGATGCGAATTTGCTCCGGACAGCAAATCAATTGTGATTCTTGGTTTAATAAATTCAATTTTGCAGATTTTTATCCTCCCCTATTTCTAAATAATTCATAGGCTTATATAATTCGCCACTTAATAGTACTTTAGTCAAGACTATCACATACCTGCCAACTTTTAATCCCTTCCATTATCATTTTCCCCAGTGGTATTAAAATGGAATTAAAACTTCAATTTTAAGCAAACAAATGCGTTGTATTTGAGAAAACTTAAGTTGACAACCCCGATAGTAACGCATATTAATATATGTGCTTAATTTTTGTAAGAATAGTGGTGATCAAAATCATTTAAAAATTAAGTTTATAAAAGTAAAAATAGTATATAATTACTACCACTTTAAATATGAAAATAAAATCTTCCGGAAAATCCGGAAGAGTTGGCAGGTATGCTATCAGCACAAATAATGGTCTTCAATTCCAGCATCTATAGTCTACAACAATAATCCAAAGTACCAATAATCCACAGCATCAAACACTTTACCAATACTGAAATCCTGACCTATGTTACTTCACGTTGACAATCAAACTACAGCCATCCACAGATTACAGCAAGTTGCTCTTATTATTTTCATTTTCTTTCAGTTATACAAGAAAGGTGCTTGTCTCCTTGTAACAGCCACCCCATAGACTGCTGAACTCAAACTGTCTTTTATTTTAACTTTTTATACTATTTCACGATGTATGGGATATAGGCCTTCTGCGCTGCCCAGGTGCCCAATTTTTTATAAATAAAGAAAGAAAGTACTTTAGTCATGCTATACCTTTTAAAAAGCAAACAAAAATAGTCAAAGATTTGCAAAATTTACTTTGTAGTTATTTATCGTTTATTTTATTTATTTATTTATTTTTCTTTTTTTTGTTATTTGGCGTGTCCGGAGCAGTTGGCATCTCCGCCTACAACCTTTTTCCATGGAACAAAAGCGCAGTAAATCAAAATTGTCTGCCAAAAGAAAAGACAATGTTCTAAAGTGTGTTTTTTTACATTTAAAAAAGTGATTTTTTTTTTGGCCTGTGCGTTAAGAGGTTAATGAAGGAGGGTCGTTCTTGAGGGTTTCCTTCATTGACTTCAAATTTTTGTCAGTGTCATTTTCTTAGTGAGGAAATGCAACTTGTGTTACCGTCATGAAAACCGGGTCTATGAATAAAATTTAGAGTCGATAAAAATGTTCCCTGCTGATATAATTATGTGCATAAACAAATTTACCAATTACAATTTATAAAATTATTTTTAAAAAAATAAACAATTATGTTTTATGTTTCCATTTCATTTTATATCATAAAAAGTAGTTAGCTTTTTTTAAAAAAAAATTAACTTTTCAACTCATTCAAAGTCAATCATTGATAGTCTTTAGTGCAATCTCACTGCAACGTGAGGTTGTCATCCTCAAAAAGAGCTCTCTAAATAAGAGACTCACACAAATATTTTAAATACATTTTAATCTTCTCTTATTTGTTTTGCTACTATTTTTTGTTTTGATATTTTTTTGCTTTTCCTTATATGACCTTTTCCGCATTTGGTGCAGAGGTTTGTCCGGTCACTGGGAGAGGTTTTGATGGTCTCTCCTAAAGGTTTTCTTCAACACAAAGTTTATGGAAAAAAATTCCGTGCCTCTCAAAAGTGGTCGCAAATAGAGGAGGTCGCTCCACAGAAGTGATCTGAGGTTTCACTGTAAAATGAGCAAAAGTACTTACGTCGAATAATCCTTTGACTGACGTACCGATAACGAAGACGTGGGGATTCTTTTTGTCTTTGGTCTTGTTCTCTTCACACAAATCATAGTAATCCAGGTTGAGAACTCCACAACTCTTTTCACTCCCTTTACTTTGCTATAAAAAAAGAAGAAAATATTATTCACAACAGAGTCAAAATAATTAATAATATTGATTTAGTCTATTAGGGATGTTCAAGCAAGAGGTACTATGATTCAATTAATCTAGTATTATTCAATCGGAGTATAATTCAATCAATAGCGATATCTAAGACAGAGGTTGAACTCTATAACTTGTATAATATAATTCATCAATAGAGATTTTAAACACAGAACACTTAACTAGTATAATTCAATCTATAGAGATATCCAAGACAGAGATTGAACTTAATCACTTGACTAATATGATTCAATCAATCGAGATGTCCAAGAAATCTTATATGTTGTTGAAATTATTCAAGCAAATATTTAAAATTATGTGAACAAAAATATTACTCGAAGCATTTTTATAACTACTGTATAAATGTTAGAGCTTATCACAAAAATAATTTCTTACATTTGAATGTTTTGAGCCAATGCAAGATTAGACTAGTGAAAAGAACATTAAAAATCGTTATATATATTCAGGCATGCCAATTGCTACACTTTTTACAAAATATTTAACAGAGCTGTAGGCATTTAAAAAAATTATTTTTAGAGCGTTTTAGAATGTTGAAATATTTTACAAAAACTGGGTTATCGCTGGCCTTAAAAATTTTAAAAAATGATAACGAAAATAAAACAAATGTCAATATTTTATGAGTAACCACCACTAAAAATTATTTTACAAAGAAAGTATATGTGCCTGAAAATTCTAGCTCGCCAAACCAGAGCAATCATAAATAAAGAAACAATAGCCTTCCTGATGACCAAAGCATTTGATAAAGTATGGCACACTGGCACAATATATAAACTCATACGGCTAAATTTTCCACCCGGCACAATCAAACTCCTATCCTGTTATCTTTCTAATAGAACATTTCAAGTCACCATCAAAAACAAAAAATCTTCAAAGAGAAACATCACAGCCGGAGTACCTCAGGGCAGCATTCTGGGACCGATTTTATACATATTATACACTTATGATTTTCCTATAAACAAAGCCGATTATAACAGCATAACAGCCTATTACGCAGATGACACCGGTATTATTATTAAATCCAGAAACCTAAATCATGCTCCTCAAAAACTACAGGACCATATACACCGAGTGGCCAAATTATTATGACCACCTCAGAGTTTTATGCAAATGAGTTATTGCGTCACAGCGCTGCCGCTAGAGGGCAAGATAACTATAACACGGGAATGCTGAGCAAGTGAATCATCAGTTATACTGTGTTGCTTGCTCAGATATGGGAAAAAAAGTGATTTAACTGAATTTCAACGTGGAATGATTGTGGGTGCGAGATGTGTCGGGACGAGTATCAGCAAAACGGCTGCACTTGTGAAGTGTTCTAGAGCAGCAGTTGTTATTGTTAATGTGTACAAAGAATAGACAATCAAGCAAAAAACCTGGTCTCAACGTCAGACTTGTGGTCGTCACAGGGTACTGAATGCTCGATCATAGAGAAGGCTGGCCAGGGCTGTGCAGCGCAACAGGAGAGCAACAGTGCGACAAATTGCAAGTGATATGAATCAAGGAGCAACTGTGAACGTCTCTGAACGGATTGTTCGACGCACATTGCGCCGTATAGGGTATGGAAGGAGACGACCTGTTCGTAATCCTCTGCTGTCTGCTTGAAATAAGCGCAGACGTCCTTAATTTGCAAAGGAGCACAAACATTGGACAGTAGATGACTGGAAGTGTGGACCGATGAATCACGATTTCAAATGCATCGCGCCGATGGCAGGATGAGAATATGGAGAAAACAGCACGAAAGCATGGACCCCAACTGCATTGCCACGACACTTCAAGCTGGTGGTGGCAACGTTATGGTATGGAGAATGTTCTCTTGGTATTGTATGGGTCCTTTAATTCCTGTACCGCAACGCCTTAATGACCAAGGGTATTTAAGTATCATCGCAGATCAAGTACATCCGTTTATGTCAATGGTGTAGTCTGGCGGGGATGGATACTTCCAGCAGGACAACATTCCTTGTCATAAAGCTGGCATTGTCCTCAGATGGTTCGAAGAGCATGACGGAGAATTTAACTTGCTTCGTTGGCTAGCACAATCCCCAGATCTCAATCCAATTGAGAATTTGTGGGATGAAATTGAAAGGGAGCTCAGACAGATGGATCCAGTACCATGAAATTTGCCGTTATTGGCAAGTGCACTTCAGAGAGCATGGTCTGGCATACCTTCTACCTGCTACTAACATCTCATAGAATCCATGCCCAGACGAATTAAGGCAGTAATATGAGCAAAAGGTGGCCCAACAGCGTACTGAAGAGGTGGTCATAATAATTTGGCCACTCAGTGTATATGAAATAGAAGACTGGTGCTTAAAATGGAAAACTGCAGTAAACGCTGGAAAATCTGTCAACACCAAAAACTACAGATGTTTTTCAAAATGATAATTTTAGTTTAGTTTACTTTTTGTCTGAATGTGCAGTGCTCACACATAATAAGAAACGGACCACTTTGAATAAATGTATTTGATCGGATCTTCACGTTCTAGGACTCAATCTTAATGGTTTCAGGGGGTCACCTCAAATATGCTAATGATTAGTACAAACGATATTCTAAGTTACGATAAATCACTCACAAAAACGTACTTTCTCTGAAAAAACATACCTTTTCTCTAAGATTCGGACCCCCCAAAATATAGGCGGTAGCTGCAATTTGGTAAGAAGAGGGGTCCGAAGTTTGGACTCCTTATTGCTAATTTTATTGTTGCGTATTTCGCCATATCACTAGAATTTCTTAGGCGAATTGAAAAATTTTTGCGCACATTGTAAAATTGCTTCATCCAATGATAATTCCATGAAAAATATAACTTTTAGTAAATATTTATTATTTTTTATTATTTAATTTAATGAGCCGAAAAAAATTTTGAATTGTAAGGTAACATTTTTTTATCATTTTGAAGAATGTAATTTTAAATGACAAAATCCGACATTTGAGTGAAATCGGTCAAATAGTTCCTGAGAAATCGAATTCGATGTCGCGAATNTAAAATTTCTTCATCCAATGATAATTCCATGAAAAATATAACTTTTAGTAAATATTTATTATTTTTTATTATTTAATTTAATGAGTCGAAAAAAAGTTTGAATTGTAAGGTAAAATTTTTTTATCGTTTTGAGGAATGTAATTTTAAATGACAAAATTTGAGTGAAATCGGTCAAATAGTTCCTGAGAAATCGAATTCGACGTCGCGAATCGAATGTTCTACCGATTTCGAGCAAAATTTTCTATTTTGCCCTGTAAAATGACATCCTTTAAAACGATGTAAAAAATTTTATACCTTCCATTCAAACTTTTTTTCGACTCATTAAATTAAATAGTAAAAAATAATAAATATTTACTAAAAGTTACATGTTGCAAGGAATCCCCCTTTGGATAATCCAATATAACCGTATTTTCTTAACCAATTGGGAATCTTGCTCAGAAAACGAAGTATTCAACCCATTAAAGCCAAAAATAAACTTTATACATAATTTTCCATGAAAAGAATGGAAAATAGTTTAATCTTCAAATCAATCATAATGTCAAATGATAAAAGCAACAATTTATAATCATCAAACATGAAAGATAATATCAGTGAAAGTATCATTCAATGGCAGAAATAATGATATCTGATACGATTCATGTGAACCATCACTAATGTGACAAGCATTCAAATCAATCTTATTTATTGAAATATTAAATATAACACAAAAGAGATAATAATTGATGATAATAATGATAACATGAGCAACGCGTGCCTTAACCCATTCGATGCTCTTTTTTTAATTATATTTTAATGATTTAAGAAATAATTAGACTTAACACCTCTATTCAATGAATTAATTTCATTTGCAAGACGTAATCACAGCACATGACACTTAAGTGGGCCATATTTGAAATCTAAATGGATGCTCAACTATTTTTGAAAATTTATCATTCTAATTTTAGATTTTCCAGAAAATACTGTCTGAGAATAGACAATACAGAGAAAAGGGAAAGTTTCTCTCCTGGTGAGAATTAAAAAACTTGAAGTGATGGAAAAAGTCCCTTAACAAATATCCACCGAGCTGCATCTCGAGAAGAAGAAGACCGCTGAAATCAGATGGTTGTGTATAAACAAGATGACGTGTTATCGTTACAGTTATTGGGCTTTGTTATCATGCTGAATTAATTTTCGGATCAAATTTAATTGGGTACCGGCAAGCGACGTCATGCTTGGGTGACGAAACTGATTAGCCAATCAAGTTCGACAACCACGCGTGTCGTCACTTGCAGGTACCCAATTATTAACAACTCTAATATGAATTCACCAGCAATAAATTTAGAAAGAGGTCTTAAAAACGACGGAGTATTTAATATTAAAAAAGTGCAGCACTAAGTTGTGATATATTTTCTACGGGGCAGCCTTTTAACTGTACTGAACGCATGCTCTTACAACGGGAAGAAAGAGGAAAGAAAGCGCGTTAATTTATCTTCTCTTTCATCTCTGTCTAGAGTCGCTTCTAATATTTAAAATGTTCTAACTGCAGTTGGAGATTCTTAATGTAAGAAACGGGGAAAGAAAATGCTGAATTATATAAAATTTCGAAAATATGTCTAATCTTGCGAATTTTTGTTTGCTTGATTTATAATCAATCCTTATTTTTACTTCATACAGGACTTTCGTTAATCAAATACAACCCCTTTTTTCTGATTGCCAGACAAACACGATAAAACAATACTCTTGTTTTGCTGAGGAAATTAATTGGCATTCTAACAAAACAAACTCGCATGGTTGATAATGATTTCTATATTGAAGAAAAAAACTTACTTTTAATTGCATGGTTATATTTCAAAACAGCGAAAGCGTTTATTGATGCTCTAATTATCAAAATTAAAGAGTTTTCTTGTGCGTGAAAGATAGTTGCATGCTTTTATTCGTATTCGTAGAAATGAATTTAAGCAATTTCTTTTCTATCAACGATTCTACTCATTCTAATCCAATGATTTGAAGAGAGAAAAAAAATGATATTGTTTATTGAAATTTCATTATTTCTAAATTCATTTTATTCAAATTATTGTTTTAATTAAGGCCCAGTTTAATCTGTAATATAATGGAAACTAATTTTTTAAATGTCTTTTAAATTTATTATTTTAACTTAATATTCAGTTTTCTATGTTGCAATGAACATTTAATTTAAAAACACGTTCGTTAATTCCAATTATTTTAATTCAGTATTTGAGTCTTAATCTTTTCATCGGTATGATAATTAAAATAAGATTTCGTAAATTACTTTAATTTAATTTATTATTTTAGTTTAATATTCAATTTTAAATTCTTTCTTCTTATGGTTACAAAATTAAATTTTAAGACTTTTCTTTGCTTACTGAATTATTTTAATATGGCATTTGATTTTCTTTTATCCATACAGTAAGGAGATTTTAAAATTTAAGAAAAAATCTTTTTGTATTTTTTCTTACATCAATACAATAAAAAAATTTAATTTTGAAAACTACATTTATCCAATTTATCATTTTAATATTCAATTTTCTATGCTTCATTTTTATTGGCAGAATGAAAACAAAATTTTGAAAACTTTCCGTTGGTCACTCTATTATTTAAATGGTGTATACGATTTTTTTCTTAACTGATACAATTAAAATATTTTTCATTTTTATTTAATATTTGATTAGTCATTTTTTTTATTGGAATGGTAAATAAAATTCAATTTTAAAAACTTCTAATTTTAACAGTTTATTATTTTAATTTAATATTCAGTTCTTAATGTTTTCTTTTTGTCCATAAAATGTAAATTAAACTAATTTATCTTTTGTTCACTCTGTTATTTAAATTTGATATAAATTTTTTGGTGCACCAGTGCTACAGTGAATTTAAAAATTTCTATCATTTATTTCATTAATTTAAAGGGTCTGCCGGTCCATGCAGTATCCCCCGCAAAACGTTGTGCGAAGCGTAGAGGTAGCGTGTTCGTATCTGGATGCATCTTCGTGCTGTCCTTCTACTTGATAAAGGCTTGTAAGCCTAAATTGAGCACGCAAATATATATAATTTTATTTTATAACCGTAGTCGAACAGCCGACCCTAATTTGGGTTTACGTCTTTTAATGTTCAACACCGTAGCCTTGTAAATTTGAACCTATTCCAGAAGACAAGCGAACACCTGAATCAAGTATTGGGAGAACTAACCCGCATTTGCGTTAGATGAAGGGGAAAACCACGGAAACCAACTACGGTTAGCCTGACGGCTAGGGGACTCTAACTCATGATCCATTTACCACTGAGGATATTTTATCTCAACAGTGTGGTCGGTGCTACCAGGGAACGGAATTCGTACCGACCAGCTGTAACTGGGGATTTGAATCCGGGTCACTTCGTTAGAAGGCGAACTCTCTATCCCCTGAGCCATCACGACTCGCAAATATATGTAGCAAATAAATCACTAATTAAATATTCGATTTGTCATATTTTTGTTATCGATACAGTAAGTATTAGGTCATCCGAAAAATTCTTGCTGATTTTTGACAGGCGCAATTGCTAAACATCCGTCAAAATATTCAAGTGGTAACAAACTACTCGTCAAAGCAATTTTAAGTTTTCTTAATTTCGCTACCACTTTAATTTAGATAATATGCATCCACTATTTATGGAATAAGTTTCCAAATCTTTGTGGTGATCAAAAAACTTTAATGATCCATTTTTAAAAACGAAAAATATTTTCTACAGTATGAATTTTGATACCATTTGATTATTTTTATCGCACCTTAGATAGCTCCAAAAACCTGCTTAAACTTTCCGAACGACCCAATAGAATTAAGTTTTAGAATTTGCATTGATTTAATTTAATATTCGATTTTCAATATTTTATTTTAAACGTTACAGTAATGAAAATTAAAATTTTTTAAAATTCATTTTGTTACTTAAATTAATACTTGAATTTTCATGTTTTCTTTTCATCGGTTAAATAATTGGAAATCTGTATATAAACCACATTTTTTGCATGCTTATGTTGATTAATTAGAGAGCAATAAACGATTATCGTCACGTTGGATTATAGTCAAGCGAACTTTTGGGTGTTCTTTTTACTTTTATCGTCTGCCAAAACTACGTGTTTGGTGTGAATGTCTGCTTATTTTATTACAAATATTTCGATTCTGTCATTCAGCAGGGTCAACGACAGAGCAATAAAGCGATAAACAAGAATAAAAGGAAATGAATCATATCTACGCTAACTGTGCCAATCTGAGTAAATAATACGAATTTTTCTCTTTTTTTTCTTCTGAATCACCCGCATATCTTTTGTTTACGGCGCAACATTAATATAAAAAGAAAAATTAATTGGAATAAAAAAGTATTTGCTTCATAAGGAAAGGCTAATTGGCAGAATGCATAATAAAAGAATCATTCTAAAACTATTTTATTTTATAACCGTCGTTGAACAGCCGAACTATTTTTTAGTTTTACGACTACTAATGATCAACTCTGTAGCCTTCTAATTTTTAAATCACTTCAGAAGACAAGGGAACTCCTGAATTAAGTGTTGAGAAAAATTTGCCTTCGTGGAGGACTTTTTGATGGAACTAACCCGCATTTGCGTTAATGGGGAAAGCCAAAAAAACCTCCCATGGTTAGCCAGACGAAAAGGGGATTCTAACCCATGATCTGTCAACCACTGAGGACATTTTCCGTCAGCACAGTGGTCGGTGCAAGCCGGATGCAGAATTCGCCATCGACTGGGATTTGAACCCGGTTCGCCTCATTAGAAGGCGAAAGCTCTATTCCCTGAGCCATTCCTGGTAATAGTGAAATGCCAATTGAACTGAAATTGTAAGCAAACATTAAATACACATTTAGGAAACGCTTGCTACTCAATCATTAACATGCCTGTTATAAATATTTTTAAAAGATTCAGAAATAAATATAATTAAAATCAAATTTAATTATACTTGTTGCAAAAAAATGAAGTTTGAATGTAGACTATTAACTGCCATAGTGGGCAGGTATGCATATGTTATTCATGATTGATGGAGCATTGTATTTAATAGGAGAATATTCTGAGATGGGTAGAAAGTGATAAAAGTTTTTTAAACAGGAATGGGAAAAAAATAAAAGTGTCTTGGGCGATAATGACCCATTTTCTAAAATAAGACGAGGCATGGATATTAGAAAAAAGGGGAGAGAAAAGTCGGTAAATAAGTTTAAGAGAGTCGTCAAGAATAAAACAGTCTAGCCGCCTACGTATGTTCTAAGATCTTTGCGCTAAAGCTTCTTGAACATTTTCTTTCCCCACCTATCGTAAACAAACCCATTAGAGTCTAGCGTCCTTTTAAAGGGACTACTTTTTCAAAAAAAAGTCAAAAGATTTTGCGGTTGATGTAATTTTTACACTTAATTAGATAACCACATTTATAAATTCCAACTTAACTCTTGTTTTAATAAATAAGATTTTAAATATTCAAAAAGATTTATATGAAATGAAAGTCATAGTGATAGTTATGATTGAATAATTAAAGAAATAATAAATAAAAAAAGTGAATCAAGTTTCCACCACTTTTTATATTTATAGTTGCCTGTGGCATCCCTGTATTTATAAATAATGATTATATTTATATCATTCTTTTTTTCAAATATTTAATAATTTTTGATTAATGATTCTTTTAAATAATTTATAAATTTTAAGTTATGATTTTTTAAATATTTAATTATTTTAAATTATGTTTTTTTATATACTTAAAATATTTGTCGCTTTCAAAGTTCAGCCATTTTTGTTCAATAAGTTAACTCTAATAGTGCAACTAGTTTTAAATTAAAGCTTTGCTTAGTGTCTAAGGCTCCCTCAAATATAGGTTATTTATTTAATTTAATATTTTTTTTATTTTCTAATAGGATTTTATTATTTTTTTGTGATGAAAGATATATGCCAAATTGGTAATTTTGTTAAAAAATTCTTAATATATATATATTTTTTAAATACGCTAGCTATTTTTTTATCGTCCAAACATTTTCGCTCATATAATCAATATATGTAGTAAAAATTTCAAATGTATCTTTAAACTGTAGTTTTTCCATCTTCTTTGGTGAGGAAGCTTAAAAAAAAACCGCCATAAGAGATTTTTTTTTCTTTCAAAATTAATGTAAAATGAAAAGAAATATTACTTCTTTCTCGTAGAAATAAAACTTCGATCCGTCTAAGACGCAGTATCGACTTTTCCAAGTCCCGGAATAGAACCAACCCCTTCCGGTCAGTTTGTGAAGAAAACCTTTCCTGAGTGGACAAGCGAAGGAATCACTCGCCGGAATATCATGCTGAAACAAAATTGAGGAATTATAAGTGGTACTTGAAGAACACCAATATACATCATTTTTAGATGATACATGCAGAAACATTTTCTAAATAGTTTTTATTTTTTATTTTATAACCGTCGTTGAACAGCAGACCCACTATAGATTTTACGGCTACTAATGTTCAACTCCGTAGCCTTGTCATTTTAAACCCAAACCAGAAGATAAGGGAATTCCTGGATCAAGTGTTGAGAGAAAGTTGCCTCCATGGAGGACTTTTTGATGGAACTGACCAGCATTTGCGTTTCATGGATAGGAAAACCACGAAAGCTTCACATGGTTAGCCTGATGGCAAGGGGACCCATGATCCGTCTAACACTGAGTATATTTTACGTCACCACTGTGGTCGTTGTTAGTCTAGAATGGATTCATATCGACAAGCCATCACTAGGATTCGAACCCGGTTCACCTCATTGGAAGGCTCTATTCCCTGAGCCACCACGACTCTGAATAATTATTTTTCACAATACTTATTTCTTTTAAACACAACAATCATAAAAATAGTTTAAAAAAGGAATCAAAATGGAATTAAATGTTATCTCTTTTGTTTAACAGCTTGCCCATTTTTAATGCTTATTTTTGCTATATCAATTTTTTAAAACACGCAATTCAATTTTTATGTCTATTTTTTAAACAAGCGTTTCTAAGTTGTGTCTACTTTTTCAATGACGGTTTTGGGTTACGCATTTGAAGAAAATGACCTTTTTATTAAATGTGCAATTCGAGCTATGTTCAAAATTAACATTTCAACAACTATAAACTCATAACGATGCAATTTTCACTAACATTTTTGGAAAACTTTCAATGACTTTTAACACCAATCTCGTTTATTGATAATTTTTTCTTTGGTGTTTATCCAGATCATTTAAAATTTCAAGAATATCCCATAATTTTAGCAAAAAGAAAAAAAAAACTTTGAAATTTTTTAATACTTTGTGACTGCTTCTACTTATTATTTTTCAGAGAATACATGTGACTGACATGTCCGAAATGGGTGGATGTTGACAATCACTTACAAGTGAAACTAGGGAAGTGTGACTCGCCAATTTTGAAATAAAGTAGTGGGATGTATGCCTTATGAGAAATAATTTTAGGGGGCAACATTCGTTTCGGCCCATAGAGGGTGTTATGAGAGATGAAAAATAATTCAATCTATAGAAAAATCGGTATTTTATTACTTCAATGCTGACTATTATTGTAATTGTCTCATAATCCAACTAATTTGTAATTAATTGGATAATTAATTAATTTGCTAATTAATAAACTAGTTAACATTCTTTTCGGCCCGTAGAAGGTCCTGTGAGAGATAAAAAATAATTCAATATGTAGAAAATTCGGTATTTGATTACTTCAATGCAGACTATTAGTTATTGTAATTGTCTCATACTCCAATTAATTTTGTGGTACTTTCACGTACTATATAATGCATATTTATTGTCAAAATTGATTTCGAAAATTTTATATATCTGTAGTTTTTCAGAAAAACCTGTTAGGTTAATTTAAAAAAAAAAATTGACATCAAATTTTTAAATTTTTTTTTTTTCAAAAAACTTTCCAAATTAATTGGAGTATGTAATTGCAAATCAATTAATTAATTAATAATTAATTAACAATTAATTAATAATTAATTAATTTTCTGATTAATTTATTAATTAGCAAATTAATTAATTATCCAATTAATTACAAATTAATTGGATTATGAGACAATTACAATAACTAATAGTCTGCATTGAAGTAATAAAATACTGATTTTTCTATAGATTGAATTATTTTTTATCTCTTACAGGACCTTCTATGGGCCGAAACGAATGTTGCCCCCTAAAATTATTCCTCATAAGGCATACATCCCACTAATTTATTTCAAAATTGGCGAGTCACACTTCCCTAGTTTCCCTTGTTAGTCGCTTAGGTAAATGTTCCAGGTATATCAGGTAAAAGTGTATACGAGGTCTATTTAAGTTCCACTACCAGGTATGCCCTACATCAATGATTTTTAAGGTTCAGCGTCATTGCCCGGTATGACCTTCATCAATGCTTTTTTAAGGTTCATTGCCACTGTCCAGTATGCCCTACAATATTTCTTAAGGTCAACTGCCCGGTACGCATTTAACCAGTACTCCGAACACTGATGTTTCTCCTCAGCAGATATTAAATATAATAATATCAACAAATAAATTAATATCAAATCGGACATTCACCAAATTGAGAATGTGATTGTTGACATTCACCAGTGAAAGTCGACATTCTCTTGGTCATTCAAGGCAACATATATATTTAAACTATACTTTCAAGATGTTCGTGCAATATTAATAAGGTATCGTCAAAAGTTGAATACATTAAAAACATGTTTTCCCTAAATTAAACGCTTTTCTTGAACGACCTTCGTAAGTGAATATCCATGTTGGAGTGTATTTTGCAAATAAAAAAACTATTTTGATTAAAGAAGAATTTCTCAGAGGTCACTAGACACCGGTAATTATCTTTTGAATTTTGTGACATTTAATTTATTTTAGTTAATTATAAAATTTCAAGAACATTCATTCTTCATAAAAATTTATAAATACTTCTTTATTTTCGCAAATCTTCTCTAATTTAGCTACTTTTCATGAACGACCTTCATGAGTAAACATACAAAGCGAGCTCTTCAAAGGGAAAGCTTTTTTTTGTTTAAATAACTATTTCTCAAATGTCACAATAAACACAGGAAACTATCTTTGAATTTTTTTTATTCTTTCTATATTTAATTGCATTCCTTTTCATGTAAAAAGAATGGCATCATTACCAACCTACGCTACAGAACGTTTAAGTGGTCTTCTACTCGTACATTTGCTTTCCTGCCTTTCGTATCTTTGGAACAAAAAAGAAAGCCTTTTAACTTAATGAATAGGTTTCCGAGTAACCATTTTCTGTAATTAGTGAGTTGATAGGATACGAAAAAAAAAAGGAAATCTGAAAATTCTGCGGGCATATTTTGAAATGAGATGAAGTATTTAGGACAGAACCAATTTCGGCCTAGCGTCTTTTGAAGAAAAGAAAAAAACAGCACCTTTTTGTTTAAGAAGAGACAGCATTTAGAGTTTCATTATTAAAATATACCGTGAAGAAAAGGATAGTTCTACCAGTCATAATATATTAACAATGCAAATATTTATGATTACATTTGAAGTCAAAGTATTTATTTTAACCCACTTAAAAACATAAAATTTGTTTACCCTAAATACTAGTAGCTACATTATTTGTCTAAATTTTAGAAATGATATAAAATCTTTTCACTAAGTAGTTAAGTAAGTCCCGCGGTGGACTGAACGTAAAGACACGGTTCCCAGTAGAACACCGAAGTCAAGCGTCACTGAATACGGTCAGTAAGCGGGTGGGTGAGCACTTTGATCAGCCTGCATAGGGACCGAGGGTCCGCGGTATCGGTCCTCGTTAAGCCGTTAAACCATAAAGTGCTCGATATCGAGCAAGTCATTGGGCTACTAAATCAGGGGAGCCATCCCCTCTGCAGAGGATCAAAAATTGCGAGGGCATGTCTTCAGATCATNACTATGAAGTTTAAATGATTTAATGTTTACATTAATTCAAACAGCATGTCAAAGCTCGTCAGAGCAAGAATTTAAAGCTCGGCTTGAAGAACACGAGAGATAATTCCAAAGTCAGGGTATTAAACGATCTTCCATAGCTATCTGTCACCATAAAAAACTATCAGTGAGGTTATAATTTCCTGGTAATGCATTTTTTTCGTATGCTAAATATTTCTGGCTTTATACATTAATTGAACACTATATTATCAGAAGTAAAAATTTCTCGTCACTTTCTGCTTTAAATTAAAAGTTCAAAAATTCCTTTAGTTATGTAGAATTAAACTAAAAATATAGAGAAAGAAATGTAGATAATAATTTAAAGAAACACCATATAATAATTAAACGTGATAATAATACACTAAGTTTGCTATTACTTTTATGTTTAGTAGTGCATTTAAAATCGAACATGGGATTGCTTCCAACACCATTCTAAATAATTGAGTGCAGATAAATTCTTTCATTTCTTTTGTGTATACACAAATTTAAAGTATAATTTCAGTGTAAAACATTTTTATGTAAACAAACCACCTTTTGATATTAGCAATTCTATATTAGAAATATAATTTATATTTTTTGCTACGAACCAAATTCATAACTATAAGATGTTAAAATAAATATTAAATTGATTCTTATAATGATAATAATTCAAACGCTACAAGTATTGGCACTTTTGTAGGGTTTTGTTAGGTTTCTTGCTTTAAGCAATTTAAAGGGAAACAATAGAGCATATCTTAACTTCAAAATAAAATCAGGCAAATTCTATGTTTATAGCCGGATAAAAAATTGTCGTTAAAATTAACTTCTAAGTTGCACAATTAATACAAATGTAATTTTTAAATAATAAAAGTGTATCTAGTTTCTTTTGAAATTAGACAACCATAATGCTAAAGAAACACATTTTTTTTTAAAAATTTTACCAAAACTTTTTTTTTATTGCCCATTGTTGTATTTTTACACAATTAATTTCTAAATTTTTAAAATTCGCATTCCCATGTCTCCATGTTTTTAGTTCCAAGGTGTTACGATGAAATCGATAGGAAATTAAGCATAATTGAGATTAAACTAGATTAGAATATGATACTATTTACCGGGGTCAGAATAATATTATCATTTAGGCCGGTGTGATAAAATACAAAATAATAGAGAAAATATATAAAACTATTTACATATTTACACGAGATTGAAAAAAAAAACTGTCATCGACAAAGAAAAGGTTATATGAGCGATGGATAGTCCGGCAACTACCTTGTCTGTGACTCTGATATAGTGATGACCCCGGCGTCCTGGTAATACCACTCGTTTCTGGGTTTGCTCTATCACAGTTAAATGACCAATTTATCGTCCATCCATCCATTTGGGTTGCTCGCATACCGTGCTGCC